AGAATTGTTACTCAGGGACACAGAATTGTTACTCAGGGACACAGAATTGTTACTCAAGGACAGACACAGAATTGTTACTGAGGGACACAGAAATTGTTACTCAGGGACACACAGAATTGTTACTGAGGGACACAGAATTGTTACTGAGGGACACAGAACAGGGACACAGAATTGTTACTCAGGGACACAGAATTGTTACTCAGGGACACAGAATTGTTACTGAGGGACACAGAATTGTTACTGAGGGACACAGAATTGTTACTCAGGGACACAGAATTGTTACTGAGGGACACAGAATTGTTACTGAGGGACACAGAATTGTTACTCAGGGACACAGAATTGTTACTGAGGGACACAGAATTGTTACTGAGGGACACAGAATTGTTACTCAGGGACACAGAATTGTTACTCAGGGACACAGAATTGTTACTCAGGGACACAGAATTGACAGGGACACAGAATTGTTACTGAGGGACACAGAATTGTTACTGAGGGACACAGAATTGTTACTCAGGGACACAGAATTGTTACTGAGGGACACAGAATGTTACTCAGGGACAGACACAGAATTGTTACTGAGGGACACAGAATTGTTACTGAGGGACACAGAATTGTTACTGAGGGACACAGAATTGTTACTGAGGGACACAGAATTGTTACTCAGGGACACAGAATTGTTACTCAGGGACACAGAATTGTTACTGAGGGACACAGAATTGTTACTCAGGGACAGAGAATTGTTACTGAGGGACACAGAATTGTTACTGAGGGACACAGAATTGTTACTCAGGGACAGACACAGAATTGTTACTCAGGGACACAGAATTGTTACTGAGGGACACAGAATTGTTACTGGGACACAGAATTGTTACTGAGGGACACAGAATTGTTACTCAGGGACACAGAATTGTTACTGAGGGACACAGAATTGTTACTCAGGGACACAGAATTGTTACTCAGGGACAGACACAGAATTGTTACTCAGGGACACAGAATTGTTACTCAGGGACACAGAATTGTTACTGAGGGACACAGAATTGTTACTGAGGGACACAGAATTGTTACTGAGGGACACAGAATTGTTACTCAGGGACAGACACAGAATTGTTACTGAGGGACACAGAATTGTTACTCAGGGACAGACACAGAATTGTTACTGAGGGACACAGAATTGTTACTCAGGGACACAGAATTGTTACTCAGGGACACAGAATTGTTACTCAGGGACAGACACAGAATTGTTACTGAGGGACACAGAATTGTTACTCAGGGACACAGAATTGTTACTGAGGGACACAGAATTGTTACTGAGGGACACAGAATTGTTACTCAGGGACACAGAATTGTTACTCAGGGACACAGAATTGTTACTGAGGGACACAGAATTGTTACTCAGGGACACAGAATTGTTACTCAGGGACACAGAATTGTTACTCAGGGACACAGAATTGACACAGGGACACAGAATTGTTACTCAGGGAGGACACAGAATTGGGACACAGAATTGTTACTCAGGGACACAGAATCGTTGAATTAAAGAGTATGTCAGACAACATGCAGAGGAGTGGCAGAGGAGGCAATGTTTTAGGAGCGAGCAGACGTGGCAGCAGAGGAAGGGGTCGAGGCAGCACTAGTCGCAGCCAGAGGCCAGTGCTCCCGGTGTCATCCAGCGGTCGTGTCTCCACCGACAACCCTGCCGTCATCGATTGGTTGGCTCGGTCGTCTTCCTCTTCCCAGGTCACCTCTGACACCTACAGCCAACGGTCGGTGGGTACGTCAGACACAACCGTTAGTTGGCATGGCCCGGGAGCAAGCCCACTGAAATCACGTGTCCTCTACCTGCCCCTGTCCTTTGGTGTTCCCTCACCAAGCGAAGTATCGCATGCTGTGGGCTCAGCCCCACTGTACAGTGAGGAAGAGCTAACAGAGGGCGGTCAGGAACGGGGGGAGACATCCGCCTCTTCAGCAGCCAGGCGAAGAAGTACTGGCGAGGAGAGTGGCTCGGTAGCCGGTCTAGAGACAGGTCTGTCTCCTGACCCACACGCAGCCGAGGGGGCTAGTAGTGAGGCGGAGACCCTAATTGATGATGATGAGGCTGATCGCACTTGGCAGCCTCGTCGTCATCAGGCTATTGCTTCCGCATCATCAGGAGAAGAGGGTGCCAGCTTGGCAGCGAGCAAAACAGTCGGTGGGTTGCCCAGGAGGCAGCAGGGTCGCAGCAGTGTCAGTGGAGGCAAACGGCCACGGAGTAGAGCACCAGCTCCACTGCAGCCTACCACCACGGCCAGTAGTGGTGCCGGTGTGCACGGAGGAAGTAGCAGTCAGCCAGTGAGGAGTATCGGGGGCAAAGTTTCCTACTCGGCGGTGTGGGCAATTTTTCGTCAAGCCGCCCGAGGAAGTAAACGTAGCCGTATGTCGACTATGTGGCCAGAAAGTCAAGCGTGGCCAGGGGGCCCATGTTGGGACTACAGCGTTGCGTCAGCATATGCAGCGTCGCCATTTGGTGGCCTGGGAAAACCGTGATAAAGATACGGCGGTTCTGCCTGCCCCAGCCCCCGCTCCATCACCCGCTCCGTTACTTGCTCCGTCACCCGACGTCAATCGCCCTCTATCAGCCAGTCAAGGCTCCAACACCTCTGCTGAGGGGAGTTGTCGCTCGTTGGCATCTTCCGCTCGTTCAGATGCTCCTTCTCCTGCTACTCCTCTTCACGGATTCCGTCAGCAGTCTTTCTTGGAATCCGTTTCCAAGAGACAACAGTTTGCGAGCACGCACCCGACGGTGCAGAAGCTGAACGAACGTCCTCCTGTCCAAGTTGCTGGTGCTGCAGTCCCTCCCTTTCCAAGTGGTGGACTCAGCACCTTTCCGAGAAATGATGGCTTGTGCCGCGCCGCGGTGGAGAGTGCCAAGCCGGCATTTCTTCTCCAAAAAGGCAGTGCCAGCCCTGCATTCACATGTAGAAGAGATGGGTGGGCCAGTCTTTGAGCATGTCGGTCTCTGCCAAAGTGCACGGCAGCGCCGACGTGTGGAGCTGTAACTACGGTCAGGGACAGTACATGTCATTTACGGCCCACTGGGTGAACGTGGTGCCGGCACAGCCGCACCAGCAACTTGGACAGGTCACGCCGCTTTTGCCTCCACGTTTGCACGTCCTTGGTCCGGCAAAGATGTCCGCCTCTACCACCTCTTCTTCCGCCGTGTCCTCAGCCGCCACCCCCCCGTGCCAAGTCCCATTACCCGACCGGCATATCACATGTGCAGGGCGCAACGGTGTCACGCTGTGTGCTGCACCTGGTATGCCTTGGCGAACGTAGTCACACAGGGGAGGAACTTCTGAGTGTAATGAACAGAGAAATCGACAGATGGCTGTCTCCGCGCAAACTGAAAATCGGAACCATGTTGACCGACAACGGAAAGAACATGGTGTCTGCTCTGCGTCAAGGAAGGTTGTGCCATGCGCCATGCATGGCTCACGTGTTCAATCTGGTTGTCAAGCGGTTCCTAAAATCCACCATCCCACTGCAAGACATCCTTAAAATGTCACGTAAACTTTGCATGCATTTCAGCCATTCCTACACCGCAAAGCACACCCTCCTTGACTGCAGCGGCAGAACGGAATTCCACAGCATCGCCTGATCTGCGACGTTGCAACAAGGTGGAATTCAACCCTACACATGTTAGACCGCCTTTACGAACAGCGAAAGGCCATCACCGATTCCCTGATGTTACAAGCGGATAAAGGTACTCCCCTGTGTAACTTCGATGTCAGCCATTGGCAGCTCATGCGTGACACCTGCCGCTTGCTCAGGCCCTTTGAGGAGGCCACGCTATTCGTGAGTCGGCAGGACTATGGGATGAACGACGTCATTCCTCTGTTGCACGTCCTGGAACAAATGCTGTTAACAATGGCTGGTCAGGGTGCGGTAGACGTGGCGCACAGATCTCAACGCCACATGACCCCTGTGGGGGCAGGACAGGAAGAAGAGGAGGAGGTAGAGGAGGACATTGGTGCTCAGGAATTATTGAGTGAAATGGGTGGTTTTTCCACTCAGCGGACAGGAGTGGAGGAGCAGGAGCATCTGGTAAGGAGGAGGAGGAGAGACAGAGGACCCAGACGCACCGTGTGGCAGTATGCTGTGGAGATGGAGGCAGGGAGTCCCTCGCATTCCTTGGCACAAATGCCCATAGCATGCTCGGTTGCTTGCGTAGCGACAGCCGAATAATAACCATCAGACAGAGGGATGACTTTTGGCTGTCCACCTTGTTGGACCCTCGCTACCGTTCAAAAATGGTGGCCTTTTTTCACACCTGCTGAGAGGGAGGCCAAAATAACGTACTATAAAAAACCACCTATGTAGTCAGTTGGTCTCTGCCTTTCTGCGCCAACGTCCATCCTCAGACACTGTGGGCCCTGTGCGCTCGCGTTTCCGCTGCCATGGCATGCAGCAGGGGAGGGGTGGGGTGGTAGGAGCAGTGGCAGCTCCACCAGCAGCGGCTGCCCTCAGTCTGCAGTCGATGATGAGTAGCTTTCTTCACCAGCGCAGTGAGGAAACTACTAACCAGCCGCAGCAGCAGCAGCATCAGGTGGACCTGGAGCAGGACCTCAAACAACAGCTTGGGCCTACTTGGACAGCACCCTGCCAACCGAGGTAGACAATCCCCTTGACTACTGGGCAACGAAACTTGACCTTTGGCCCAACTAGCTGAATTTGCCCTTGAAAGGCTGTCATGCCCGGCCAGTAGCGTGGCATCGGAGCGCGTGTTTAGTGCGGCAGGAGGTATTGTAACTCCGCGGAGGACACGACTGTCCACCCAAAGTGTGGAGAGACTCACGTTTGTGTGAAAATGAATCAGGCGTGGATTAGTCTGGATTTCAAACCACCATTCCTGACACAACTGACTAAATCCGCCATGAATCATGCCCCAAACATGTGCCACTTTCAGGTCTCCTCACACTGCTGGTGTGGTTCCATTTTGTGTCATAGGGTGCTGCAGATTACGGGCCTCCCATTCTGCTGCCAGGCCCGTAATCTGCCATGGGCCCCTGTACCGCCTCCTCATGCTGCTGCCAGGTCCAGAGTGTCTCATGGGTCCCTGTACGGCCTCCCATTGCTGCTGTCTCCATCGCCACACTCTGCCATGTGCCACTTTCAGGTCTCCTCACACTGCTGGTGGGTTCCATTTTGTCATAGGGTGCTGGCAGATTACGGGCCTCCCATTGCTGCTGCCAGGCCCGTAATCTGCCATGGGCCCCCGTACCGACTCCTCCATGCTGCTGCCAGCCCCGTAATCTGTCATGGCCCCCTGTACCGCCCTCCTCATGCTGCTGCTGCCAGTCCAGAGTCTCTCATGGGTCCCTGTACGGCCTCCCATTGCTGCTGTCTCCATCGCCACACTCTGCCATGTGCCACTTTCAGGTCTCCTCACACGCTGGTGGGTTCCATTTTGTTGCTGCCAGGTCCAGAGTGTGTCATGGGTCCCTGTACGGCCTCCCATTGCTGCTGTCTCCATCGCCACACACTCTGCCATGTGCCACTTTCAGGTCTCCTCACACTGCTGGTGGGTTCCATTTTTGTCATAGGTGCTGGCAGATACCGGGGGGCCTCCATTGCTGCTGCCAGGCCCGTAGAATCTGTATCTGGGCCCCTGTACCGCGCCTCCGCATTACTGCTGCCACAGGTCCAGAGTGTGTCATGGGTCCCTGTCATCGGCCTCCCATGCTGCTGTCTCCATGCTAACACTGCCATTTGCCCACTTTCAGGTCGCCTCACACTGCTGGTGGGATTCCAATTTGGGTCATAAGGGTGCTGGCAGATTACGGGCCTCCCATTGCTGCTGCCAGGCCCGTAAACTGCCATGGGCCCCCGTATACTCGCCTCCTCATGCTGCTGCCAGGTCCAGAGTGTCTCATGGGTCCCTGTAGGCCTTCCCATTGCTGCTGTCTCCATTGCCACACTCTGCCATGTGCCACTTTCATGTCTCCTCACACTGCTGGTGGTTTCCATTTTGTCATAGGGTGCTGGCAGATTACGGGCCTCCCATTGCTGCTGCCAGGCCCGTAATCTGCCATGGGCCCCCATATACCGCCTCCTCATGCTGCAAAGCCAATTGTCCAGAGTGTGTCATGGGTCCCTGTACGGCCTCCCATTGCTGCTGTCTCCATCGCCACACTCCTGCCCATGTGCCACTTTCAGGTCTCCCTCACACTGCTGGTGGGTTCCATTTTGTCATAGGGTGCTGGCAGATTAACGGCCCTCCCATTGCTGCTGCCAGGCCCGTAATCTGCCATGTGGCCCCCGTACCGGCCTCCTCATGCTGCTGCCAGGTCCAGAGTGTCTCATGGGGTCCCTGTACGGCCTCCCATTGCTGCTGTCTCCATCGCCACACTCTGCCATGTGCCACTTTCAGGTCTCCTCACACTGCTGGTGGGTTCCAGTTTTGTCATAGGGTGCTGGCAGATTACGGGCCTCCCATTGCTGGCTGCCACGGCCCGTAATCTGCCATGGGTGCCCGTCGAACCGCCTCCTCATAGCTGCTGCCAGGTCCAGAGTGTGTCATGGGTCCCTTTAACGGCCTCCCATTGCTGCTGTCTCCATCGCCACACTCTGCCATGTGCCACTTCAGGTCTCCTCACACTGCTGGTGGTTTCCATTTTTGTCATAGGGTGCTGTTATGGCCTCCCATTGCTGCTGCCTCTCACCGCCACACTGTGGCTCCACACTCTGGTTTTGGCCCCGTGAACTGCCCAAATGAGTGAAGTGTGCGGTGATTCTAAGGATCGACGGCACTCAATCTGCAAAAACATGTCATAATACTGACTGACAGTATTATTTCTCTTCCCCCAGCAGACTCCAAGGGCATTTAAATTAAAGGTACAGTGTTCTGCCCACTAATATAAAGGCTCTCTAAAGCCTAGAAACACCCTTTTTATAAGTTAAATTCGCAGCGAATTTCGACTCGAATCGAATTTATTCCGCGAATTCGCCGAATCAGCCGAATCGAATTTTTGAATACTTCGCTCATCTCTATTTGTAATGATAGAAAAGTTTTAATTTTGGCATAATATTAAAGTAAACCTAAATCATTTTTTGATTGACAATCACCCACCACATCTGTGTTGGAAGTACAGTTGCAAGAAAAAGTATGTGAACCCCTTGGGATTGCGTGGAGTTTTGCATGAATTGGGCATAAAAGGTGCTCTGAAACGTCCTCTAAGTCACAACAATGGAAGAACACAGTCTGCTGAACATAATACTACACAAAAACATTAGATGTTGCTATGGTTTAATTGCACATAACATGTAAACATTCACAGTGCAGGGAGGAAAAAGTATGTGAACCTTTGGACTTAATAACTGGTTGACCCTCCTTTGGCAGCAATAACCTCAACCAAACATTTCCTGTAGTTGCAGATCAGACCTGCACAACGATCTGGAGTAATTTTAGACCACTCCTCTTCACAAAACTGTTTCAGTGTAGCAATATTCTTGGGATGTCTGGTGTGAATCGCTCTCTTAAGGTCATGCCACAGCATTTCAATCGGGTTGAGGTCAGGACTCTGACTGGGCCACTCCAGAAGGCGTATTCTGTGCTGTTGCAGCCATTGTTTTGTTGAATTACTTGTATTCTTTGGGTCATTGTCCTGTTGCATTACCCATACCCATCCTCTGCGGAGCTTCAGTCGGCGGACAGATGGTCGTACGTTTTCCTGCAAAATGTCTTGATAAACTCTGGAATTAATTTTCCCATCAATGACAACAATCCGTCCAGGCCCTGAGGCAGCAAAGCAGCCCCAAACCATGATGCTCCCTCCACCATGTTTTACAGTGGGGATGAGGTTTTGATGTTGGTGTGCTGTGCCTTTTTTTCTCCACACATAGTGTTGTGTGTTCTTCCCAAACAACTCAATCTTGGTTTCATCTGTCCACAGTATATTTTGCCAGTAGTGCTGTGGAACATCCAGGTGCTCTTTTGCAAACTTCAAACGTGCTGCAATATTCTTTTTGGACAGCAATGGCTTCCTCCGTGGTGTCCTCCCATGTACTCCATTCTTGTTTAATGTTTTCCTTATTGTAGATGTGTCAACAAAAATGTTAGCATGTGCCAGAGATTTCTGTAGGTCTTTAGCTGACACTCTGGGATTCTTCTTTACCTCATGCAGCATTCTGCGCTGTGCTCTTGCAGTCATTTTTACAGGACGACCACGCCTAGGGAGAGTAGCAACAGTGCTAAACTTTCTCCATTTGTAGACAGTCTGTCTTACCGTGGACACATGAACATCAAGGCTTTTGGAGATACTTTTGTAACCCTTTCCAGCTTCATGCAAGTCAACAATTCTTGATCGTAGGTCTTCTGAGAGCTCTTTTCTGCGAGGCATGGTTCACATCAGACAGTGCTTCTTGAAACCAGTAAACCCAAAACAGGTGTGTGTTTTTTAAGGGCAGGACAGCTGTCAGCAACACATCCAATATCATCACACTGATTGGAGTCAAGGTTGGCTCACTCCTGGCTCCAATTAGCACTGAGAGAAGTCATTAAGCTAGGGCCTCACATACTTTTTCCTCCCTGCACTGTGAATGTTTACATGTTATGTGCACTTAAACCATGGCAACATCTAATGTTTGTGTAGTATTATGTTCAGCAGACTGTATTCTTCTATTGTTGTGACTTAGATGACATTCGGAGCACATTTTATGGCCAATTCATGCAAAACTCCACGTAATCCCAAGGGGTTCACATACTTTTTCTTGCAACTGTATGTTTTTTTTAATTATTGAATCTCATTTTACGTGCCTAAAGGTTTACTGGGTGAAAATATTTCCTTTTTGGTTGATACATAATTGACCACTATGTACCCCACCACTTTTTCCAGTCTGTGTGAAGGGATCAAATTAGTTTTCACACAAACTCAGTTGTTTGGGCTCCTGTTGCTGTGAAATAGAGAAGAAGTAGACTGTGAAAAGGTAGCAGACATATCATCCTTGATTAGGTTCTTTGTTGAACTCCATGGTATTGGAGAAGAAAAGTTTATCCAATTATTAGGCCTTGTTTGATTGAAAGGCACTTCATTTTTTTTCACAACACCTTGATTTATACCGTCAACCCTGTTTCTTTATTTGGATAACAACTTATATTCCTAAAAACGCATTCTTTATTAAAAAAAAGAAAGTTTGAGGTTTGAAAAAAAAAAACACATATATTCACCTTCAGGCTACAACATTGGTGAGATGCTGCAGTTGTCCCAATTTACTTCGAACCATATAGTGATCACATGACCACTGACTGTTCAGTTCTCGGTCTGCTCAGAGTGGATGCTGATGCTGTCCCAAGTTTGCTTCAAACTAATAAGTGATCACAGGACCACTGATTGCTCAGTTCTCGGTCTGCTCAGAGTGGAGGATAGTGACTGGCAGTCACTGATTTCTGCTCTGCTCCTTTAGCACTCACTGGAGCACTGGGCTGGAGAGGGAGCGGGCGCAGATGGCTATGGCTTTCAGCCTCTCACTAAGGTGCTAAGGTGGAACCAACTGTCAAGAAGACAAATGGGTGGAGCGTGACAATATTGTCAGGATCCTTCCAGAGCTTGGAGCAGCTCTGCCAAGTCAGCTGTTAGCAAGCAATAGCTCACTGTCAGTCGACTCCTGTGAACCATAAGGGAAGTATGACCAAAAAAGCTTTGGCCATACTTCTCTTTTAATTCATCACATTTTTCAAAGATTATTTTTAACAAATTCTCCTATAATACTCAATAATCTTTGACATCATGTTGTGAGAGCATATGTCAAATTGCCTTTTTTGTAACTTATTATATACAGTATATATTGATATGAAGACTATAGGAATCATTCTTATCAAAAAGAAATATCAATAAATATTACAGTACATGCCTCAAGTGCTCATCCTATTTTTTTTAAAAGGTCTATTCCTTATAGCCAATAACTGGGGCTGATGCAAAACGGCTCAAATAAAGCAGATTTTGAATTAGAAATGGCTAAATTATGTGCAATATTAGGACAGAAATGCTATAGTAAGAAGAAAAGAACTTATCCAAAGATAATTCTAGGATGAACTGATCTACAAATAAGTGCAAGCAAAAACAGGAAACTCAATTGTTCGAAAAATTACTAAATATAATCATCAACATCCAAGATTAAACAAATTATGTCACAATATTGGCATCTTTTAACAATAGACCCTATTTTGGGACAGTTTTGAATAGATCTACTGATATAACTTCTAAGAGGACTAGCTCCCTACAGGACTCATTAGTGCTCAATAATTATGAAAACTAAAAAAGATGAGACTGGTGCCCAATTAGACACTTTTAAATTTGGCACATGTAATCAAAATAGTTACATCCATACATTCAAAACATATTAGACTTCCAAATGAGGACCTATATATGCTAAAACATTTTGTTAGAGGATAAGTGCACCTTTAAAAAAAAAATAAATGCATTTTCTTTTGCATGTAATAAGGTGAATTTATTTTTTTTCTAAGAGCCTGGAAAGTATTGCGCTAGTGATGGGCAGATCACTGGTGCCATGCAGGACTCCTGCAGACTGTCAGTGTAAGCTGTTTTCCC